GTAGCGGAAGATATGGGGGTCAAGGTGCCAGTTGCTGGAGTCCCGTAGGTGACGGGAATACCAATCCGCTGTAGTGTTGGACAACCCTGGTAAATATTCTGCCCTGACAGCGATGTTGTGTTGAAGGCAAAATTGCCAGAAGTCCCGAGCCAAATTTCGTTAGGATTTTGGATCTCGTGCCTCCCAGATGATTTATATAACGGACCGCTGATATGTTGTCCATTTTCAGTAATATTGAGCACTGGGATAGGGTCGGGGATAGGCTGCGGATCACAAATGACCCCGCTAGGAGTTCTAAGCAATTTATATGCAAGGTGGATTCCAAGTCCGACCAACTCCCGCCTGTGGAGACGTCTCCGCAACGAGCTCCCCATCCGTAAGAACTCGTGTCTGATTCTATGACTATCTCTGGGGCCGAGCCGAAAATGGCTTTGCCATTCCACGCCTCCATGTGTCGTAGCCACCAATGGAGTTCTTCTTTCGCTTCTGTGTCTAGCGTTAGGGTATCCTCATATGAGGCGCCTGCCCTGAGGTATGACGCCTGTAGGTGTTGGAGGGCTCTGTAATGGAGGGGACCTGGAAAAATGGCCTGTATGGAGGCAGCCAGGAGTCCAATGACATGGGCCAGGCTTTTGAGAGATAACTGCGGGGAGGCTAGGACACGCCTTATCTTTTTTTTTGATATTCCTCATCTTGGAGGTAGGTAAGAATAGGGTTTGTGTTATTGAGTCCACTAGGAGTCCTAGAAACTCTATCCTCTGAGTGAGAACTAGTATGGACTTTTCCCAGTTGATAATGAAGCCTAGATTCTGTAGTAAGGTTATGGAGTATGGAGTTGGGGCACTGATTGGGACAGCAGGAGGATGTCGTCCAAGTATATGATTAGACGAATCCCTCGACTGCGAAGGAGAGCGACCACTGGTTTCATGAGCTTGGTGAAGCATCAAGGCACGGAAGAGAGACCGAAAGGAAGGCAGCGGAATCGCCATTTTTTTCCTTGCCAAGTGAATTGCAAGTAGTCCTGATGGGCACCGTGAGGTACGCATCCTGTAGATTGAGCTTCACCATCCAGTCCGATGGTTGGAGCAGATCTCGTAGGCAATGAATGCCTTCCATTTTGAAATGTTGGTAATTTACATAGGAATTTAGACATTTCAGGTTGATGACCGGGCGGTTTCCGCCACCTTTTTTGGGGACAATAAACAGGTTACTCACAAAACCCGGGGTATACATCGGGATTTCTAGAATAGCCCCTTTGAATGCCAACTCTTGGATTTCCTCGGAGACGAGGATAGTATCTGATCGGGACAAAACAATCTCCCTGGGCGGGGATTGTTGGATAGGTAGGGATATAAAGTCTATGAGATATCAGTGGACTGCTTTGAGTATCCAGATATCTGAGGTAATGAGAGCCCAGACATGGGAAAAATGTGTCAGTCTGCCCCCAACTGTGACATGAGAAGAAAATTGAGGTAGGTAGCTTACCGTAAGGACGTCTTCTGGAAGGAGCGCCTTGTGAGCCTCTAGACACCCATGGTCTGCCTCTTTGAGGGAAGAAGGTCGGGGTGGACCTCTGCTCTGGAAAGGGGGTTCTCCCCATGTAGAAGCCTCGGTTCGGTTGTCGTGAACCTCTAGGAGCTCTGCCGGACAGACGGCCCCTTGCTCTGCTGGCCCCGGAAAAAACCTTTGGGTGGAACACCCGTTTCATGTTTAATTGTGCCTTGTCCAAGGCAGTAAATGTCTGGACATATGCGCCCAGGTCTTTGACAAATGAGTCTCCAAAGAGGAAACCTTTAGCCTGAGGGCCTGGTTCTGTGATTGCCATATGAATAAGTTTAGGCTCTATCTTTAGTAGGATAGATTTCCGGCGCTCTGTGGCAAGAGCAGTATTAGCATTGCCAATGAGGCATATAATTCTTTGGATCCAGCCTCTAATCGTGAGGCAGTCTATGACCTCATCTCGAACCAAGGATTCTTCCATGGCTTCAAATATTTTGCTTGCTGGTCCCAATATATCTAGGACCTTGTCCTGGCAATTATATAATGAAAAATCCAAGCCTTTTTTCGGCTTCCATCCCGTTTTACTCAAGAACTGGATTATTTTGGGATCAACTAGGGGTGTCTTACAGGCCTCGTCAGGAACAGTGGGCATTCAGCCCTTAGCTTATTTCGGGCCGCCTTATCTAGAGGCTTGCGGACCCGGGATGCCACATATTGTGCCACATGTTCCGCTGGCGACCACTCCGCTGAGCGGGGGTGGCGCAAATCATTGGGTTCAAATAGGGGTTCGCCCTGCGGGTCGATTATTTTATCCCCTTTATTTAGGTCAGGGTTAGATGTGCCTGCGGTATGAAAATCGTTAGAGGCTTTTGAATCCTCGCCAAATCCGTAATCTGAATCTAAGTCAGATAACTCATTAGACTGATCTGATGACAACGCACTCTCCTCATCTGAGCTGAGTTTGGACTCAGTTTAATCTGGTTGGGCTTTAGCCCATTTCCAATGCCTAGCCGCTTTTGCCCGGCTAGAGGCTCGTTTGCGAGGTGGGTTATTATTCGCGCCATCTGAGACAGGTTTAGAACTGTCCATCTGTTTTTTGGATGAGTGCTTTATTTTTGCCGAGGCCTTGCGGCCGGGGTGTGTAGGGTGAGAGTCTGCGGGTATCACGGCTGGTATAGTTGCCGGAGGGACCGCTGATTGAGCCTGTTATATCGCATGTGCAAAAGATTTTGACAGGACATAATGTCCATTGCAGAAGCCAAGGCTTTTGACACAGTAGTGTCCATAATTGTCTGAATTTCCTCAGATGTGGGAAAAACAGTCTCATCCCCAACAAGCAAATGATGTAAAACTAAGGAAGGTTGGGTAACAGATTGGGTCCCAGATGGCCCAGGTAATTAATTGGGGGACTGCATATTAAGAGAGAAAGTGGTAAAGGCAAAGAAGGTTTTATTGAAATATTAGGATGTACTGGGTTAAGTAACCCAGAAGAGAATGCCTTTTATGAAATGACAGAAAATGAATGTGAGGAAGGAAAGTTTATTTATTAATAGTAATTACTCACAGCCACTAAAAAGGGGGGGAGAGCATAGAAGGAGAACCGTCCGCCATTAATTCTGAACACCCACTCCGACCAGAGGATGGAGTGGGCGTTTCAGAGTAAAACGGTGGGAAAACGGCGAGAAAATGGCTGCCGCATAAGAAAATGAAACTAACAGATGCTGCCGCGGCGAAAGAGGGGGCAAGGTGCTTCAGGAACGAGGTGACCGTAGTGAGCAGCAGCCCTGATAATGGGACGGCTCAGCAATGGCTGAGCGCGCGATCGGAAACCGTTCCGAACGGGCGCAACAGTCAGGTTGTAAGATGGCCGCCGGGTGCCTCAGATGGGATGCGCATGCGCGGTTACATGGGAATCAGATCCCCGTGACAAGCGACGTCAGCCGGAACAGAAAGCCGGCAACTGACAAGCACCTTGAATAATGTTAATCACAACACACAGTGGATGTAAGCAAAATGATTTAAGAATAAAATATAGGGTTCTGTCACAGGATTAATAACAGATGATATTATTTAATAACTATTAAAGGTACCACAAAAGTAAGGATTAGCATTTAAAGGTACCACACAGTTATATGAATATGTTAAATAAACATGGCTATAACCAAAGATAAAATATAATACAATCAGAAGAGTGTCACAGTCTTAGAGCACTGTGATAGGTGTACTTATCTGAGGGAAGCAGCAAAGAAAGAGGAAGTGGTCATTGATGCTCCGCTTACTATAGGAGAGGGATGTCACTGATTGGAGGGTCATGTTGCTAAGCGAACATTGTCAGACATGATGTTTATAACTGTTCAAATGTTAAATTTTCAAATAATATTTCTTTGCTGCTGAGGGAATTAAAGAAAGAATGCAGCATAATAGGAGCCTCCGGGTCTTTAATAAAATTTAAATTTAGTCTCTTAACACGGAATTGCAGTGAATTGACTGTAAGCTCTCTTGAGCATGGTCGTCATCAACCGATTGTTTCTGTAACATTTTGTAATGGTCTCATTGATTGTTAAATTCCCCTTTTTCTAAAATGATATGGAATAAATTGGCACTGTATAAATGTCAATAAAAATAATAATTATTAATCAGGAAACCAAATTGCAAAACGTAGACTAAATAATCCAAGCCCTGACTATAGCAGAGTTGGAGAATGTTGCCTAATTTTTTGCTGTTTACTGAATAAACTCATAATAATAATAATAATAATAATAATAATAATAATAATAATAATATGAACTCCTGGTACATTATTACAAAATGAGTGGGGTCAAAACAGCCCCTTTTACCCCATTGCAATATGGAGGATTAAAGGGACACTATATTCACCTGAACAACTTTAGCTTAATGAAGCAGTTTTGGTGTATAGAACATGCCCCATGCAGCCTCACTGCTCAATCCTCTGCCATTTAGGAGTTAAATCCCTTTGTTTATGAACCCTAGTCACACCTTCCTGCATGTGCCTTGCACATCCTTCCATAAACACTTCCTGTAAAGAGAGCCCTATTTAGGCTTTCTTTATTGCAAGTTCTGTTTAATTGAGATTTTCTTATCCCCTGCTATGTTAATAGCTTGCTAGACCCTACAAGAGCCTCCTGTATGTGATTAAAGTTCAATTTAGAGATTGAGATACAATTATTTAAGGTAAATTACATCTGTTTGAAAGTGAAACCAGTTTTTTTCATGCAGGCTCTGTCAATCATAGCCAGGGGAGGTGTGGCTAGGGCTGCATAAACAGAAACAAAGTGATTTAACTCCTAAATGACAGTGAATTGAGCAGTGAAATTGCAGGGGAATGATCTATACACTAAAACTGCTTTATTTAGCTAAAGTAATTTAGGTGACTATAGTGTTCCTTTAATGTCTACCAGGCTAGGAGTGGAATTCCTCTAGTGGTCATCAAGTGGAACTGCAGGTGCTTCCTCGGAAGTGGGAAGGGCTGAAGCCATTGTCTCTATGTCATAAAGAAGGACAGATGTTCCAAGGCTCTATGTACATAGTGTAGGCGGAGCTGTGCTCGCACGGTGCACACAGGCAGACACCTACAAACAGTACATCAATAAACAAGGTCCTCTGGAGACACTGGAAGATGGGCTGTTGAGCCTGAACAAAGCCATCGTGGATTAATCCCCAGCGAATTGACCGCAAAGCTTACCATCATCATCATCATCATCATATATACATTCAGAAGCCTCTGCACCCTGATTTAAATGGACTGCAGCCTGGACCTGCTTTAATGAGAGCTTGATGTGATCGGAACCAACTGGATCCAGCCCCAGATCAAATGAAAGCCCTAATCTGAATGATTATTATTATTCCAGTTCAGGTCATAAACTGGATACAAATTCGAACTCTCTAACCTTGCTGCACCCCAAACCTGGTCCAGCATTCGAGGTATTGTGCTGGGATGGAAGCAGGAGGGGGTAAGAAGAACCTCTTGGATTAAATAATTGGACACCGGCATTTCAGAGGTATGATCGCCCCTCTCACGTTATCCAATTAGTGATGATGGCTGTGGGGTTACTGTTCATTAAATGTTTTATTATTCATAACCTGCCTTGCAGTGTGCCTGTAATCTATTCAGTGACAGGGGAGTGGTGGCTCCCATCTCCCTGGGAATGAAAAGGTTAATAGAATGTGTACATAAACAAGCAGTGTTCCAGTGGTCCTTCTGCAATCTGCACTAGTGTCAATCCACCTCCCTCTCCCCCCACCTCCCTCTCCTAAATGACTGCAGGATAATTGAGTTTCTGGCATGCTGAAATGCCATAGGATCATTGTTAATGGATGCAAAGAACAATAGGTTCTCCATAGTAATGAGGTTACTCTGTGTTCAGCTGCTCTCCGTCAGGCTGCTAAATCTGATTCACTAAATCCACAAGGTAATTCTTCATTCTGTCTCTCACTGTATTATTATTGGTGTGGTTTGACATGCAGGGTATATATCATTATGGGGATTTCTGCTAAATAATGACATGTTTGTTAACAGATCAGATCTTCTGCTGAATGCAAATACATTCAGACCCTTGTTTCTGCAAGGGTCTGCAAGATTTTCTAATGAATACAGCTTAAATATTGTTATCTGATGCCCTGTGTTTGACATATTGTATCCACCATGTTTCTTGGACAAACGTTTTTTTCTTCATGATAATGGGCAACACAATGAGAGATTCTGCCTTGCAGTGTGCAGGCTCCATATACTGCAATCAAAACAGTTAATTTAGTAGACCAGCCACCTTGATTATTTGACATCTTCCCTGCAGCATATTAATGCTGTATATACAGCATGGCAGCTCTTCTTTTCATTGTCTGCTCAATTACATGAGGGAGCCCAGTGTCGTGTAGAGATGACAAGGCCCCCAGGCTTCCTTGGGGTATTTTGGTTGTAAATTGTGACAATGATGAGATTTGGGTGCTTTGTTATCTGCATATAACATGTTGGTGAGGGTCTTGTGCAACTAAATAAAGCAATTGAGGGAGTCATGTCTCAAGGCAGATCTGGTGGGTCTGACAAACACATTACCCAACTCTAAACCATTACGCTTCAAAATGGCCTCCGCCTTTATAATTCTCTTTCATTGCTCAGAGCCATGGTTTCTGCAAATACCCCATCCACCTTAATAATATAGCCCCCATTTCCACCCATGCTAACAGCTGCGCCTCCATACTGTCACAGATCTACCCCACCCCTTCAAGCCTCCCCCCCCACTCCCCCACTTGCAAACACCCCGATCACCATGGCAATAACTCTTCTTGATAAACCTTCATTTATAATTCCATTTACTTGTCAATAGCCGTAACCTCTTAAATTAAATCTTCAAATACCACCAACCATTTTATTTAGTGCCATCCTGCATATACCCTACCCCTCCTGTTATAACCACCTTTCTTGAGGGCACACTCCCATAAAGAGAGTAGTCTTCCTCCCCCAACACAACGCACAATTTCACAGTCATTACTTTGCATCAATAATCTTAGCCTCTTTGTAATGCATGCACATATTGCTAATTTGCTACGGTCTACTTCTTAGCAGATTTTTAAGATTAGTTATAGAAGCATAGACCTTATCACATCAAAATCTATTTGGTCATGTTCACACATATTCCTTTCCCAAGTCATTGGTGCTATTTTTCATTTTATATTTTTTAGATCACTGCATTAGACCTAACCCATTTTGCTTGCAGGCTACACCGTGCACATATAACCCTTTCAATAAAGTATTATTTCACTGCCTCCCGACTTAAAGGGACACTATAGTCACCAGAACAACTACAGCTTAATGTATTTGTTCTGGTGAGCATAGTCAGTCCATGTAGGCATTTTACAGTAAACAATGTCTTTTCAGAGAAAATGCAGTGTTTACATTACAACCTAGGGATACCTTCAGTGGCCACTCCTCAGAAGGCTGCTAGAGCTGCTTCCTGGAGCAGTGCTGACATCCTGTGTCTCCACCCTCTTCATGGAGACACTGGTCTTCCTCATAGAGATGCATTGATTCAATGATTCAATGAGTAGATGCTGATTGGCCAAGGTGGTGTTTGGCTCTGCCCATCGACCTGCCTCCTTGGTTGACATCATCAGAATTGACAATCTCAGCCAATCCAATGCTTTCATATGGGAAAGTATTGTGATTGGCTGAGATAATCATTTCTGGGTATGTCAGCCAAGCAGGCAGATCAGGGGCAGAGCCAGCAGACTGGAATAAAGGTAACATTTTACTATATTTAGGGGGGCTAGATAGTATTTTGAACACTATAGGGTCAGGAATATATGTTTATGTTCCTGACCTTATAGTGTTCCTTTAATGTAGCTCTAAATATAAGCTATACCCACAACAGCCAACATTTTCGCTTTCATACTGACATATGGTGTTAGAGACAGGATGCTAATGTGTCTCATAGAATTCAACTCTTAGCATCTGCTTGTGCGACCTATGGACCTTGCATACATGATTGAGCCATCTTCACACCATTGTATTCCTACTTCAACGACCAATTCATATTCGTATATTTCTTCTATCAAACCTCATCCATTACACCAATTCCCTTTCTAAACCATCACTAATACATTATTGGAATTCCAATATGATTGTTGCCATTCTCCTAATTATTACACTGTTCCTTTTCCCAGACAAATTATAATTTTTTTATTGATAAAGTAGCAGTGCTTTGCATCATCCTCCTCCTTTCTAAAACTATTTTTGATTGATAAATTTCTCCCACATATCCCAAAAGATAATCCAAAATCTGCCCCCCCACACACACTTTGGTATCCTCCCAAAAAACAACTGTACTGCATCCTTGTTAAAGAGAACATCACGTAGGACAGCAGTGATGTTTAAAGCAATCCATCAGCACAGGTCATGCACAAACCATTCCAGTAAAATGCAAGAACTCAGTGCCTTGTTGCACATCTTCTCACCATTACATGTCCCCTGTCCTAAGCTCTTGTATATGACTGGTCCATAGATTTCAGACCTTGATGTAAACTGCAACATGTGGAATGGACTTTTGTTATTTAGTGTCCTTGATTTACATTGAACATCAAGCAACCCACCCAGCACTTTGAGGTTTAACCTAGGACCATCCGTTTTGGTCCCCTTTAGCTGTTGTTGGACTATAAACACGAGGTTTCTGGTCCAACGACAGCTAAGGGCAACTTTGGACATTTTCAGTTGAAATATCGCACTTGCCACTTGTTCTGTTGTTGTTGAAGTTGTGGTCAGAGTTGACGATGGGGACTTTCTCCATACTTTTGTCCTAGTTCTGAAATTCACATGTCTTTGCCATTTTGTTCTTTTACAGACTGGTAACAAAGCATGTGACAACGCAGTCACCTTTCCAAAGAGGCTTCCTTTATCTCCTTAGTGTCTGTCTTTGATTTCTTAGAACAATCAATCAGTTTAGTCAGCGCGCTAACTGATGAATGCACAATATGTGCACATTTTAAGGGTTTTTCACTAAAATGTGAAGTGCTGGCAATTCAAAGTGAATTTTTAATTTTTGGCTAAAATAAGTCTATGATTCTAGTTCAGCTTTTTGTAACCTAAAATTAAAATTTGCTTTTAATTCACGTTACAGTCCAGAAAATACCCACTTGTAGCGAATAACCCTGAATAATAATAATAAATATTTACTAATGATATAATATGACCATAAATCCATGTCTCCATTTCATAATTGTTCTCTCAATGTCTTAGAGGGACTTTGGTTTCATATCCACATAAAATCAAAAATCTATTGCTTAACTGTAAAACCCCCCCGATATATCCATATTATGTTAAGTAGCATAGGTGGCCAAACACTTTATATCCAGCTGCTCTGCAACTGTATTTCCCATAATCCTTTGTTGGCCCTATTCTGGTTTATTTTACTGAAATAAGCCTTGGTTTAATTCAGGTCATCTTTAAAATCAACGGTCCCCTAGGCTAGGACCATGCTCATCCTCCTAACCAAAGGAAAGCCCAAAGGACACACAGTACAGTACCCTCAAACATCCAGGCAGTCACAATGGGGGAGATTTATCAAATTGTTATGTTATAAAATGTAATGCAAAAGGGGAAGTTCAAGGGATTATTAACAATTAAGCTTTTGACATTTTATATAAACTGTGAAATATTTCTTTCTTCTTCTTTTTCATCTAGGTTCTCCATACTTATTTTACAAATCCTGAAATGATGCTAAACACTCCTTTCACCTGCTGAAAAATACCCGGTTTTCACAGAAAAATCCAGTCCCCCAAAATCATGGGCACTGTACTCTCCGTGTCCCCAAGCTATCGCAAGGCAAGTCTTTTTGATGGAGGGGCAAGTGTAGGCCACTATACAGCCGTCCAAAACAGCAAGAATGGGAAATCTTTGAAGAGGCACTCCTTCATCAATGTATTGCCTTGGAAGAGGCTTGTGGCTGTCTCTTCCAAGAAAAAGCAATCAAAGAAAGCATTACAAAACAGTGGTTACCAGAATGACGTTGACCATCTTAACAATGAAAATCTGAAGAAATCTCTTTCCTGTGCCAATCTCTCTGCTCAAGATTCAAAAGACGCTCTTATCAAGGATGTTGTATCTTCCAAAGCCAAGGAAGCTCAACCGCAGCACGCTCGTGTGTCACCAAAAAGGGTGGTGGTGCAGGCTTCCACCAGCGAGTTGCTGAGATGTTTGGGTGAATTTCTTTGCCGTAGATGTTATAAGTTAAAGCATCTCTCTTCCACAGAGCCTGTTTTATGGCTTCGAAGTGTGGACAGATCCTTACTTCTTCAAGGGTGGCAGGACCAGGGATTCATAACACCTGCCAATGTAGTATTCCTGTACATGCTTTGCCGAGAAGTAATCTCATCGGAGCTCACCACCGAGCAAGAATTGCAGGCTGCTTTGTTGACCTGTGTGTATCTCTCTTACTCCTACATGGGCAATGAAATCTCTTATCCCCTGAAGCCTTTTCTCGTTGAGAGCTCCAAGGAAGAATTTTGGGACCGGTGTCTTTCTGTCATTAATATGATGAGCTCTAAAATGCTCCGGATCAATGCTGACCCCCAATATTTCACCCAGATTTTTGCTGACCTCAAGGCTGAAGGGAGCCACCAAGACAAGACCAGGCTATTGATTGGGCTGGACCGGTGAGCAAGATAGATCGACCAGATGAAGACTACACCGTATATTTTGCTGACATCTGGAGAGATTCCTAGTATTGTTTGACTTTGATTGTATGGAAGATCTAGAGCATCGTTTGCAATTAATGCAGGAAATAAACTGCTCTGATGTGTTCGTCTGGCCTTGAGTAGAGTTATCACTGCATCAAAATTCTGAATGCCATGAGGTCAAACCGTAAAATTGTCTGCTAGTAAGGCAGTCTTGGGGGTTGTACACTAGATACTCTGTCATAATGGCAGGGTAGGTGTCCACTTTAAAATATTGTCCTAAAATTTCTTACAGGCATGTTAATGTAAGGAATTCTGTATTGAAAAGTGTCTGCAATCATGGCAATCTTAAAAAAATAATATAAGGTTACGTAATTAAATTCTCTGCATATTTAGCATGGTAGAGGCCACACAAACAGGGGTTATTATTCACTAAAATGTGAATTGTCTGCAATTTTTAAAGCAAATTTCAATTTGCAGTTTAGTGAACAGGCCTGTAATTCTCTCTCTCTGCAGGCTTCTTGTTAGGCATGCAAAATTCTGGAAGCCTGGTAAAAGTAAGAGTTATTAAAATTGTGACATGATTGCTGTTGCGAACGCAATCCTGATATTTACATTTCATTTTTGGTAATTTAAAGTATCTCCCACTAACACCCTAAATCAGACCGTGATAAACTGCCGGCTTGTAATTGGCAACTGACTTGTTTAACGTTTTTTTAATACCCGATCTCAAAGTGTTAATATTCACATTTACAGAATACAGGATACATTTTTGGTTTCATATTGAAACAGATTACATTGAACTATTCGTACAATCGTGTCATTATGTCATCTGGCAAGCCGTTAGACTTTGCCCTTTTCTTCTCAAACCTGTTTTTAGTATATTCACTCAGGCTTACATTAATGTGCTCTAAATAGGTTTGTAGGATACACTATGTTTTGTTTTCCAGGACGTTAACATTCAACACAGGACAGCATTTGTCTTGTGCTCCCTGTCAGTATTTTTAAGGGATACGTGTCCTTCTAACCGTGGTAGATCTGACATCTCTACCTCTAAATTAATTGCATAGACTCATAAACCAACTTAGTGCGATCCAATATATTTTCAGATAACTAAGGCTGTGCAGTAGTTGTTACGGAAGACTATGGGTGTACGACCAGTGCAAGCATACTTTGTAATTGTGTTTGTGTTCACAACGCGGTACTATAACTTTAAATCCTAAAGTGGAACTGTCACTAGTGAAATTACTGCATGCACAAGTAAGTAGCTAAAAAAGTTAGTTATCGTTTGTGTTTTTCATTTTTTTTTTTTTTTCCTTCTTTCCCATGCCTGGCTGCCTGGCATAGTTTGTAAATGTAACCCCTTCAGTGCCATACTTAAGTGTGGTGTGCCCATGGCATTATGGGATAGCTGAAGTCTCCCTAAAACACAGAAATGCTATATAAGTAAAAAAATAAATAAAATTAACTTATTGCCACTGCGTTATTCACCCCAGTAACCAGAAATGTGTGTGATACTGGTCCTGAGGAGTTTTGAAGACCTGCAGAGATTATATTCACCAAAGTGAGAATTGTTGGAAATTCAAAGTGGATTTCAAATGTAAGGCCAAATAGCAGAACTGGAAGCATAGTTGGCTTGGACAATTTTTTACAGTTTGTCTATTTCGGACACTATAGTCACCAGAACAACTACAGCTTAATGTAGCTGTATAGTATGTCCCTGCAGGCATTTTAATGTAAACACTGCCTTTTCTCTGTTTACATTACTTCCTAGGAACAGTCCAGTGGCAGTCACTGAGACGGCCACTACAGGTGCTTACTGGGTCAGTGCTGCACAGTGTGCAGCACTGACGTTCAGCGTCTCCATGTCCCCATAGAGATGCATTGAATCAGTGCATCTCTATGAGGAGATGCTGATTGGCCAGGGCTGCGCTTTGCCGTGTGTGCATTAGCCTCCCAATGCTTTCCGAGATTGGCCAAGATAATCGGGGAGGCGGAGCGGGGGCGTGGCCAGCCATAAGGAGACCCGCACAGCGCTGGAAAAAGTTAAGCAATCTCACCTTTTTCACAGGGAGTATGGACACCTAAATGGTGTTTTTCAACTTATAGTGTCAAGACTCATTTGTGTTCCTGACATTAGAGTGTTCCTTTAAATTTGAAATTCACTTTTAATTCTCTACAAAAATTCACATTAATGAATTACCAAACAATGCATTATGATGAAAATTATCTTGCATTAAGGAAAGGCTTAGGGAGCTACACCATTCCAAGCAAATGGATTAAAGCTTACTGTATTGTCGGGAGAACCACTCAAAAGATTAGTCTAATTACCTTGTAAAATGTTAATCTTTCTGCTGAAGTTCCCAAGCAGTGCACATGCCGCAACTTCCTGGCACTTATTCCTAAAGGGGCAGCACTTTTAATCATAGTAATATCTGGAAGTGATGCATCACGCACGTTCGCAATCAATTTAACGCAGGTCTGCACTGTATATTTTCCTTTCTACGTTAGTAGAAATTTAATTGGAAAACCAGCTTAGCTGTTTGCACCATAACATCTGAGAGGCAACTTAGATTTTAAGACTTATTTGGAATATTGTGTATCTTCTAGATCCCTCTGGGAGCTGAGAGGAACTTAGGCCAAAGTAGTTGATATGGGAATACTCCCTACCTCAGCTAGTCTGGTCTAACATTTTCAATCCCCTTGTAAATTCTCCAAATTTCTCAGTTTAATGACTAAACTGGATTTTATTTGCTTAATTTTTCATGTGCAACATTAGCTCCAAGCCTGACAGTTTATAGCACATGTAATATTGCAGATTGTATTTCTTTATATCGGAGTTTCACTTTAAATGATTATCTGGAAGGGAGATGGTGCAAGTATTGTGAAGTCAATTATGCTTAAATTCTATTTTGGGTATAATTATACTCTAACTAAGCACCTAATTATCTTTACAAGCCAGTATGCTGACTACTGAGGACGCTTAACTCCAAATTTTCCTTCTCTCGTTGAGCCATGTGATGCATGACAAAACCAGTTTTATGAGAAACCTGTCTAGCCAGGTGCATTGTGGGAGTAAGAAATGTTCGCCTCCCGTTACGCAGTATATTTAATGCACACATGTCTGGCCTAGAATTGGCTAGGCCACTAGTTTATTGGCACAGGAAATGTCCCTTTAAATGTGAATTTAGCCCATAAAGGAATACAAATCTGGGCTTTTTAATAATAATCTATGATCTAAAAGTTGCATATAATTTGCACAAAACTGTAAACTTTTTATTTTTTATTTTTTGTTCTTTCGTCTGACCAGGGAACTTATTAATAATTATGTAGAAGAGTTAGACGCTGTATGAATTTTCGAAAATGGTGCAAAACCAGGAAAATCCACGTGATTAAATAATCTGCAGTGGTTAAGGGTGTGTTACTCACTAGACAGTGAGCTGATGTAAACTGGCAAGAATTGATTAGGTCAATATTGAAAAGACACGGACTATAAAAAAGGTTGGTGTTTTTTGGTTTTTTTTGTGTGCCAAAATGTTGCAATTCTTGCCAATTCACCACAGATCATAATTTAGTGAATACGCCCCTTGAATATGAATAAATATCTATATAACTTTGAAGCGTGCCATTTGTTGATGCCATTTAAACTGCCAGAGTGATTAGGACTTTAATCAAAGCATATTAAAGGCTCGTGGCACAACTGATATTGTTAATAATGGCAAAATAAAATACACTTTTTTTTAATGTTTTTTTTTTATTATTATTTTTTTATTACTTATTATGAATCAGTGTTGAACCGTTGTGGTATTTTCCATTTTTTTGTTTAAAAAAAAAAAAAGAAAAGTTAAAAAGTGTGTGTATATGTGTGGAGCCATGTGCAAAGGGGTAAACAATGTTCACTTTTAAAGCGATATCAATATTTAAAAATAAATGGTTGTTTTATATATATTTTCATTTTTTTTTCGTGGTGGTTCTGATACTTTATCTTAATGGAAAAGGATGTACGTCAGAAATGGAAGCTCTGCTTCTTTTTTATCTGTGTTGGCACAGCAACTGCAGAGTGAAAGGTTAGCTTCCACTGTTTTAGGTCTTGACTTACTACAAAACAAAATGGCAGACTCGAAGAAGAGATTTGTGGGAAATGAAGTAAGCACAGCTTAGAGTAAACGTCACCAGCTGCAGACATACCTCCCACCATTTTAGATAGACAAAGAGAGGCACTTTAAGTTTAGGAGTGTGGCTGTGAGGGGCAGGTCTGTTCTGAGAAATTTTAGGTGACTTAATAATAATTTATAAAACCTCAAATGTAGTTTAGAACAAGAACAATGTATCTTACACAGACTGGATTTTAAACACATTAATTGTAGTTTAAAGACACATTACTGAGAGTATTATTGCTCTGGAGCTCAGACACACCAACAATATGGAGCTCTTAGAAATAAGGGACAGAGGGATTTGGGCCCAATGTAGGGACTGGTCCTCCTGAATAGGGGCACTTGGCAGGTATGAACAGGGAAACCTAAACTGGAAATATCTCCTGGAAATTAAACCAAATTTTAAATATTGGTATCGGTTTTAAATGAAACTAGACCACCTGTTTAAAGTATAGATGGTTCTGAACTACTGTATCTTGTTGTTGGGCTGTACAAGTGTGGGAATTGATACCACCAAAATATCATGCAATAAAGATGCAGCTCTGGTCACCTGAAACAAAATCCATGCTATGAGATGGGCATGATCGTATAAACCGCAATCAAATTTGTACTTGTTATTACTATTAATATAGAAAGACAATGAATCCTACAAATTAGGATTTTTCAGAAAAAAAAAAAAAAACTACGTTCAAGGTCTATACCGTATTTGTCATAGTTGAAATATGATTTGGGATTTATTCTCTAAACTGCATTCTCCTAGGTCAAAAACATTTTTACAAACTGGAAATGGAAATAGCAGAATTGAAGGGAAAGAAAAAAACCTCCCCAGATTTCTTTGTCAGTTAAATTTAACATTAAACTCATGGTAAATTGTGGTATAGTGAATAGACCTATTTTATGTATCCTAAACATGTTGGGTTCACAAATTTTATAGTATGTGATCTGTGTATTTGGCCGTTTGTTAGAACTTTTAAAGGATGACTTGCTGTATAAGCAAACGTATGTAAAACGGACCATTATGTGAAAATGTGGCATATAGCTACCGTCTGCCAATGTGTGCAATATATTACACAAGTAAAATTAACCCATCTTTTGACATGGTTTGGTGTGTAGCATACTATTCAGAATGGGAGCGAACCATTAGAGTGTCAAAATGGATGCAGCCAATGGGAGATGAGAATCTCTCTGCCCTTCTCCTATTGGCTATACTGCGTAGCTTCACGTCAACATTCCAAATTAGAACACTCTCTTATAGTATAAGCCGGCATACCAATGATGGGTGACCTAGTCTCTTCTGGTTGGACAATATAATTTTCCCATGATTCTCATTGGGGTTTTTTTTGTTTTTTTTTAAACTCACCTGCAGTGAAAAGACAGCCATCACAGATATTGAGAGATGTGGGTGTTATTGCATGGCCAAAAAAAATAAAAATAAATAAACTTATCCCACACATTTAACACAGGGTATGTATGTTATAATATAACCATTTGAGCGTCTGGCAATTAAACTGTGCTATACATATGTGCGTAACTTAAGTTTAATGTATTAGTAGCATTTATTTGTTTACATGAACGTGTAATGATGTATGTGTAGTTTCTATGTGGATGACACTAATGCGGGGTAAATAGGAGGAGGGTTGTAGGTGCACTCTTTAGTTTGTCCTATAATAAAGGGGGAAGTAAAATCCTTCTTGTGTTGAATTCTGTATTTTTTATTTATTTTTGTACCGTGAGGATTAAATGAAAACTCACACTGAAATGTCGTATGTGTATTATTTCTGGGCGTTCAATTCATTATAATCTCTGATCAACACGTTTCAAAGCAATTTTGGGTGATGGGAGTCAGGAACACAATTTATACAGTAATGATGGAAGCAAAAAAATAGTTAGAGAAACCCAGCAGAATGGAAGTTTCACTACGAGATTACTATAAATGGGTAGAAGCCACTTCACTAGGATAAAAACATAGAACTTTATTAATTAAGATTAAAAAGGAAAAAACGTGAACAAACTATTGAGGTTAATAGGCTGAAAATATGGTAACAGAAAGGGGGATAAACTACTGTTAGATATAAGGTCAGTAAAGAACTAGTTAATACATTTAGATCACATAAAACATTGTGCAATATATCAGATTGTTACAAAGTATTAAAGAGCTCTTGCTCAGGAGAGGTTGAAATTAAAGGATCACTATACTGTCAGGACAACTATATAATCCTTGGGGGACCCTCACTCTCAGGGTCCCCCTCCCGCTGGGCTGAACGGGTAAAAACCACTACAGCCACTTACCTTAATCCAGCGCCGGTGACCTCTCCTCCCCCGCCGTCAGCTCCCGAGTGGAGCAGAATGCGCATGCGCGGCAAGAGCCGCACGCATTCTAACAGTCCATAGAAAAGCATTTCTCAATGCTTTCCTATGGATGTTCTGCACGCTGGATGCAAATTTCGCCTCTAGCGGCTGCCAGGAAGACAGCTACTAGAGGTTGGATTAACCATATGTAAACATAGCAGTTTCTCTGAAACTGCTATGTTTACATGTGAAGAGTTAAAACCTGAGGGACCTGGCAACCAGACCACTTCATTGAGCTGAAGTGGTCTGGCTGACTATAGTGTCCCTTTAAGTAATCAATTTACTCATGTTGTAGTAGGCAGCGAGTAAGTATAGATTCAGTTATATAAAACATATAAACGTTAAATAAACCGCTTGAGCCATAGTGGCATAATTAGATGGACACTTAGAGTACATATTGACCTTCTGTTCATCTAACTTAGTGCTGCCATATCGTTACTCCTTTTTCTGCCTATGACTCCTAATAAAATTAGATAGATTTTGAATAAATTTTAATGCTGGATAAACTAATAACTCCCTTGAGGCAGTTCCCAGTACCCAATAACCTAGCCACACCGTGATACAAACGAAGTGCACATCAGTGAATAGTGCTCTGGAATACCATATTTATATAATGATATCATTTATTTAAAAAAAAATAAAAATAATTAAAATATTTAAAATGATTAATTTAAGTAATTATATAGCAATTACTTCAAACCCCTTCAGGACTTGTCATAACATTCAGGATATAATGAGACCTGTCACTCACTTTGTCATGAAGGTTTGGTGTTATAATTGACAAATAATAGAATTGCATACTATAATTTGCCTCACACCCTTCGTACAGGTACCTAATTAGATATGTGAAAATGTGCTTACATTTTCCTGCCTTTTATGCATGCTTATTTTACCCATTTCCATTTTACGAAAGTTACACTTCCTGCTGTTGATTGACCTATAGATTAACAGATTGCAGTTCTATGCAAGGTTGCCAATGAAAGTGCATATTTCAAAGACTGACAGATGCTTTCACCAATAACAGACCAGAAAGTGGGCAGCCCATAAAACTGGCATCTTACACTGGGTTATTAACTAACCTGAGAGTGATCATGACTTGGCCAAGGTCTAACATTTACAATTTCCTGGTCATTTACCAAAACCATTCTAAAAAAATAAATTCAAATTGATGAAATAATGGCGGCAGAAAACCCTGGCGAGTACCCAGTTGCAGATATTTAGATCCCTAAAAGTACTGAAAATGTAGGTGTTTAAAACGGTTTGTGTTTACGGATTGCAGTACTTTCTTCTTCAGCAAGAACGCACTTCCGTTATGTTTCTAAGTAATTTCTACCATGTCTTGTCATGAATGAAACTACTCGTGCTGATCTACATATCCAAACAGGGATTTATAGTGTATGCTCAATGCTCCCACTAAAAAATAAATAAAAAAAAATAAAAAAAAGGTGCACCTATTGGCTGTTATTAGTTACATCATCTCTGCACATAAGTTCTATTTGACCTTCTTTAGTAAACGCGGAATTTAAAAACCAAGTTTCAAAATTGAAGAAGCCGTAGCTGACATGGGAAAAATTCTCCAACTCCACTACAGTCAAAGCTTGACAATTTTTATTTCAAATATACAATTCTGTTTTCAATTCACTACAATGTGATATTTAGTGGGGACACCCCGCATAAATTTGTCCAACCCTGACCACAGTACAAATGCTTGGTTTTATGTTATTTTGAACAAGAATATTTTTAATTAAAACCAGGATAAAGAACCCAATAATCTTTGCACTTATTAAATTGCTAGACACAGAATAAATTAACTTTTTTTTAAAATTTGTTTTATTATCAATGAACAATAAAATGTGCCAACATGACACCCAATCATGTAAAACCAGGAGATCCTGGACAAGGGAGAGACACAGGCTGGGTACCTCAATGTAATGTTTCTAAAGAAAGGCACTTGGAGCAAGAAGAATTAAAATTTGGACATTATGAAAGGAAGCGGGTGTGTAGATACGTATATAATATAAACATACACACAGACTTCCACTTATAAGATTTTAGGGGGAACCAGTCCCCGACTAAAGCACATGTGTGGCATTTCTGCTAATTTGGCTGTGGGGATAGGCACGGGGCAGAGATAATCAATATCGCTGTATGATCGAGGCACAGAGGAATTAATTCGCTGGCACGCTGAGGGTGTATCCAGAGCGACTCTTGGTGAAGTGAGGCGGTGATTGGTTGATCTTTGTTTCCACGGTGATCGAGCAGGATTTGCCATGCTGGCTGCACTGCACTGGGTGCGACACGGTGACCGGCAAGCGCCTCTTCTCACTGTCATAAAAAAGAACTCTGTTATACTATACGTACATTTATATGTCACTTATTAATTTTACTTCTCAACCCAAATTCTAGCCTCTCCCCCAATGATACTGATTTGATCTGTATCTATTTCTCTTCATATAGCTGGAACAGAACTGGGTTACCCCAAAATCCTGGCCTGCAGGTGGAATTTGAGAACTTGTGTGAGAGATACAGTATAGTTCCATGGATGACCCTCATTTAGAGATCTGATTGCAGAAGCTGTGAACATCAATGTAAATTAACAGAATTTGCACAGCCTGACACATTTATTACCAAATAGACCTCACTCACAAGTTGTTCCACTCATTGTGACCTAGTTGTGCCTGCAGCATCTGATTGCATGACTAATAGCAGACAAACACCTATGACACAAGGGAAGTTGCACCACACTCTGTTAGCAGGACAGAATCTATTACGGTCACCGGATATTGTACAATCATGAGCGACAAGCTGGTTTAATATGCAGCTGGTCTGAGGTTGCACATTATACAATAAAGCAGTTCTCTTTTTGAGTACATTTAGTTATTTTCATAACAGCGTGTACTATGTAGTCATTTCAGAGGTTATAAAGGCAACAACTATCAAAAAGAAACAAAAAATTATATATTTTTTTCATGTGGGGGGGGGTGGTGGGTGTGTGTGTGTGTGTGTGTGTGTTTGTTTTTTTTTTTGGTTTTTTTCAATTACCTTTCCTACACCAGGAAGATTCACTTATCCCACAAAACTGCAGAGCATAAGGTTATGGAATCGATCTATCCCTAAAGGCAGTTCCATTCATCACGTGCAATGAGTGACACTGCACAACAAACAGACACACAGTGGTTTCTATCAGTTTACACAAAAAGCTCCAGTTATCTGCTAATCACATTTTTACAGCCAACAAGTTGAAGTGTAATAGACATCTTTTGAACAGATGTAACCGAGGCCAGGCTTCATATTAGAACTCTCACATGCCCAGCTAGCAGTTGATTACATTACTGATCACCAGAATTAATTGAGAATACTATCCCTGTGCACTGACTGTTTCTGAAATATTAGTTACACAAAGATTATAGAGCGTATGGCATGGAGCTGAATTAGCACGGAAATTGTCCTTAAAATAAGATTTAAGCAAAATATGAACGTCTTTTACAAGCAAAGAGTGCTGTGTTTGCGGTTTTGTTCAATAACCACTCGACCCATTTAATCTCCCCGTGCGTCATTTGCCCTGCAGGGTAGCCTTGTTCATTTAATACCTTAAAATGCACCTGGTATTTAAACATTAACATTGTATTATTTAGAGACCGTAACATTAAAAGGGACCTGCCTTACTGTAGTAGTTATGGTGCAAGGATACAGTGTAACCAACTCCAGTACTCCTCAAAAGGCCCATACACTTTGTACAATTTAGATTGCTTGCAAGTTGATCATATTTTATATTTTACTGTATTTCCATTTTAGTCTTTACCTCTACACTGTTGACATGGAGGTAAGGATTATAGAATGTGGGCACCGCACTGGGTGGATTTGGAACCATGGGGTTCTAGCACGTACCCACTTGCCAGTCACTGTATAATGCTACATGCTGCATTTGAAGGAGATAAAAGGATTGCTCAGTAATTATATTATTATAGATTTGCAAGCACAATATAGAGATTCATATCTGCATGCCTGCAGTACACGGATCCTATGATTCCCGTATTTTAGATCCTACCCTCACTGGCAGGATATTCTACTACTATTTTAGTTAAATCTGTTTTGTTTTGTTTTTTAAATAAACAGTTTAATCTCTAAATATAGGCTAAAATAAAACAGGCAAGAAAAATTATGCAACTGATGGTTCACAGAAATGTAATTTGCTTGTCAACTCACTGCTTAGTGAATAAATCTCTAATTCTTCAGGCTCCTAAATTCTGATCTAGTCTTTTACTTTCAGCACTCCTCAATGAGATGCAGGACAGATGAGTAAAGGGCTATACATTATGCTGTTCCTAAAACATGTCCTAGCTAGATTTAAGGTGTTGCCCTGTTCCAGAGGCTTAGAAACTGAATGGTGAACTCGGTAGAATTTATTTTATCTGGGTTCTAAAAAAAAACAAAAAAAAACACACCTATAGAAACTGTAGAATACAATCTTCCTTTAAACAAGTGGGAGGGAAGAGAAAGGGGGTGGGTTGAGTGGCAAGGAGCATAGATCTGAGACTTGGATGCTTGCCTGGTGCTAACCAGGGATTTTCTTTGGAGCTCATTAAATCCTGCATCCTTATCACACA